CTGAAAGATGAGACTTATAGGGTTAGAAGGCATTCAGTCAGCTACTGGGGAACAGCAGTGGGCAAGTACAAATAGTGCTGCTGCTAATGAAGCAAGTGTATTAAAGCATCTACTAGCTGAGGTGCACAGAGCCACAAGGAAAGTCCAGTGTTGCTGAGCACATATTGGAACATGGCATAGGAGAAACCTGTATTAAGACAACCTATGAATTAAGACAACCTTGATAAAGCAAGAAATGGAATTTTAAACATTGCAATACTCGCTTGAGTACACAAAAGTCGACTAGAATAGGACATTTTCAGTCAAACAATTATTAAATGCCTTATTTTGGAAATGACAAACTCAGAATGGTGTGGCTTTAACAGCAAGATGAGACAAAGTAGAAGCTACAGGCAATATTGTAAAACGTGACTGAGTGATATCCATCAGCCTCGTTAGAAAGCCTATCAACAGAACCAGCACCCAGGTCTATGTTCCAATTATAGATGCCGAAGAAGTTGAAAACTTTATGTAAGTATCCAGAAGGAAAACGATCACACACTAGAACAGATGAATTTCACACAGAAGTAGGAAATAAAGCAGAACCAAACAGTTTTGGAAAATTTTGCCTAAGAAATGAACAATCAGAATGACTCATAGAATTACGTGAAGTCAAAAAGCCAGTTTATTGCAAATATCTGGTTTAGGGAGCTGAACAGGTGATTGTTCACATGAAGGTCACCAGAGGGCTAACATAGAAATCAAATAGGCTATACCACTGGTTCTTAACCTTGGGTTACTCAGGAGTTTTGGACTGCAACTCCCAGAAGCCTTCACCACCAGCTGTCCTGACTGGGGTTTCTGGGAGTTGCAGTTCAAAAACATCCGAGTTATAGAAATCAAATAGGCTATACTGTATAATTGGAAGCAGAAAGATGGACAAGCTGTATTCTCTCTTACAAAACAAGATCAGGAGTGGGCTATGATACATGCCATGAATTTAGTATAAAAATAGAAGAGCACTAAATTAACCATTGTGCCAAAATATAATGGTTAATATCTTGTTGTGCATAGCAGCACAATGGGAGTGATGTCCCTAACCGCTTTATGCTAATTAAAGTGTTCCTGTTTTAATTTCAGGTTGCATGTGATTCATGTACAACAAGATGAAGTTGTTTACAACCCAAAATCAAAGCAGAATTCTTTAATTAGTTGCAAATTCCATAATTGATAGTGACATTCCTGTTGCACTGACAAAGCTCTTGAACACCAGCCAGTGTAAATAACATTCCTGAAAAATGTAAAGACCATATAAAAATTAATTTGCATTACTGAACCCGGTTGACTAGAATATCTGTAGAATGAAAACAGAGAGTTTATTGGAACAATGTAAAAATATTTTTCCTGAAATCAAGATGAAAGAAAAGCCTAGATGGAAGACTGATGCCATTCTTTAAAATGTGAGCAACAGAAGCAAAGGAAACATCAAAAGGGACAGAAAGCAGGTTAGAATTCTCAGTGCAACTTTTTAGCAACTGTCACATGGAAACATGAACTGTTACAATAATCAGTGCAAAGAAATAGAAGAGAACAGTAGAAGAGGACATCCAAACGATGTCTTCCATAAGAACCAATGCTGGGGAAAGGAGAAGGCAGTAGGAATAGAGGACAGACAACCTGTGATGAATTGACTCAGTAACAGAAGCCACAGTGGTGAGTTTTCAAGACCTGAGCAGGACTGTTATCAGTAGGAATAGAGGACAACTTGTGATGAATTGATTCAGTAACAGAAGCCATGGTGGTGCGTTTTCAAGACCTGAGCAGGACTGTTAAAGACAGGATCTTTTGGAAGCCATTAATTTATCGGGTAGCTATGAGTCAGAAACTATTTTATGGCAGATAACCAATACAAGATTCTTAGAAACTTAATGGAAGAGCTGTATCTCTCCATTCTGGCCCTTAGTGTTTCCCATCTGTAAAATGGGACAGATACACTCATGTAGTAATGGAAGTCGTAGAGGGACATCATGAGGGGCCTCTCCTCCCCTTATGGAGCCAGTCTTTGGGTCCCTCTCGTTATGGTAGTGCTCCAGAACAGGGTGCCTTGTAGAATACAGCTCCTATCAGCACCAGCCAGTAGCTGAAGATGATTGGAGTTGTTGTTGAAATTGCCAGGAGGGCACTGTGCCTACATTCCAGAAAAGCCTTTTTACCCCACACCCACGTCATTCATTCTCTAAAGAAGTCCTGTGGTTGTTCTGGGTTTTTCGGGCTCTTTGGCCGTGTTCTGAAGGTTGTCCTGTGCTCAGCCCTGAATAGTTTGAGAAATGGAATAAAAATAATCTGTTGAATTTGTCTGACAGTGTTTCGGTTGTGTTCGTTTTGGCTGCGATTCCTTAAAACAAAGCAAGATACTTTTTTAATGGCTTTGCTTGTCTGGTGCTATTTTATTCCAGAGATTTTTTTAGGTTGTCAAAGGAAAATTAGTTGATACATTGTGTTCAGTCTCTTGGCTTAAAAAAATGTATGCACACACAAGGTGGCATGGTAGCAGGAATTGGGTTGCTTTGATCCGCAATGAGCCATATCTTCACCTGAGTTTTCAAGACCTGAGCAGGACTGTTAAAGACAGGATCTTTTGGAAGCCATTAATTTATCGGGTAGCTATGAGTAGGAAACTTCTTGATGGCAGATAACCAATGCAAGATTCTTAGAAACTTAATGGAAGAGCTGTATCTCTCCATTCTGGCCCATAGTGTTTCCCATCTGTAAAATGGGACAGATACACTCAGGTAGTAATGGAAGTCGTGGAGGGACATCATGAGGGGCCTCTCCTCCCCTTATGGAGCCAGTCTTTGGGTCCCTCTCGTTATGGTAGTGCTCCAGAACAGGGTATGTTTTGGACTACAGCTCCTATCAGCACCAGCCAGTAGCTGAAGATGATTGGAGTTGTTGTTGAAATTGCCAGGAGGGCACTGTGCCTACATTCCAGAAAAGCCTTTTTACCCCACACCCACGTCATTCATTCTCTAAAGAAGTTGTCCTGTGCTCAGCCCTGAATAGTTTGAGAAATGGAATAAAAATAATCTGTTGAATTTGTCTGACAGTGTTTCGGTTGTGTTCGTTTTGGCTGCGATTCCTTAAAACAAAGCAAGTTACTTTTTTAATGGCTTTGCTTGTCTGGTGCTATTTTATTCCAGAGATTTTTTTAGGTTGTCAAAGGAAAATTAGTTGATACATTGTGTTCAGTCTCTTGGCTTAAAAAAATGTATGCACACACAAGGTGGCATGGTAGCAGGAATTGGGTTACTTCGATCCACAATGAGCCATATCTTCACCGGACATCCTGCGAAGCTCCTGCCAATAGGTCAAGAACTCAGCTTCCTTACTCCATAGTTTCTTCATTGCTTCTCAGGGAGTGATGACACATAGATTGTGATTTGGACCACTTGTGGAGCAATCCGGTGTGATCTCTTCCTGGCGATTACACAATGTATAGGGAAATGTGCTCCCTGACCCATGTTAAAGTTGGAAGTTTTTGGTCTAGCCGTAAGGCTTCTACTTCTTGGTACTTTGGGGGGGGGTCTGGGCTTGACTGATTCCCTGGCAGATGGAAGAGTCTGTTTCAGGGAGACTGATCCTGTTAAAATGACATTTCTGGGGCGATCAGCCATTTGACTGCACCCTCAGGAAGAACAGAATCTTGTAATCTGTGCTCCAGGTCTTCCAATCGGTATTCCCCTGGCTCTTTCTGATACCTTTGAGGTTGTGACCTCTTCTGCATTGCAGGGTTTGTACTCACATCACTGTGGATGTCGCTGAGGCAGGATTGTCACTAGGGTGGAGTCTGTTCCGCGCGCACTCTAGGCAGGGAACCGATTATGTAATCTATTGACAGGTACCAAAATAGTGTTAAATTATGTAATGCTTTCTTTCCAGCTTGGAGCGATGAAAGGCATTTATTCCCCAGTGGTAGGCAAAAAGGCTAGAGCTCAGCCTCTTGTGTGTCTTTTAGTCTCCTTTCCCTCATGACGTCTACAAAGGCAAAAATGGGTGGGCTGACGTCATTGCAGGGTGGATTTGATTGAATTCAATTTTTTTTAAAAAAATGGATTTTGTGGCAGTTTAAATAAAAAAGTGGGCTTTTTTTGGTTTAGATAGTAATTTTAATCCATTTGATTTTTAAAAACCACTGATTTTTATACACCCTGCAACACTGCACAGTGAGGTTCCCTTTCTGTCCTGGTGGATGGTCTGAGAAGAGAAGAGGACGGACTGATGGGGCCAAGAGGCTAGCTTTGGTCTTTGTCAGTGGGGAAGGATCCAGTGTCCTGAGGGGCAGTAAACGGTGCCTGGGCTGGCCCAGTATATCTTTCTGCCTGAGGCAAAGAGCAAAGTAACATTGTTGGGAACATCTCCTCCCGTATTCTACTCCGTGTTCAAAAAGCTAACCAAATAGGCAGTTCGGTCCGATTTCAGTACTGGTGGCAGGACAGCATCATCCATTTTACCTGAGAGGGATGCTTAGGTGCACACCACAGCAGGTCAAAAAGTCCACACACCCCTCTTACCTATGGCACATACCCATCAGCATCCTTTACCTGAGAGGGCTGCCTCGTGGTGCCTCATGGCACAACCAGCCATAAACTATGTAGTCACTTCAGATGGCAAAAGGGCAAAATTCACAATGCCTTCTCTCCAAAAATCAACACAGAAGAATACATCTTATCACACTAATGTCCTATTTGATATTTGTTGGATTTTTTTTCGGACTGCCGGGCATTTATTTTTTTTTAATGGGGGCAGGGGGGAAGAATGATGAAAAATGAGGAGCTGCACCTGACACAGCATAGAATCCTTCCACTTCATTTCCTTGCCTGCCTTGTAGTCCAAAGCCCCCACTGTGTTTGCCCTGAAAGTGGCAAGGAAGAGGGAGCCCGGCAAGCAGGCCTGACAGCTGCTCTCTCTCTCTCTCTCTCTCTCTCTAACGCCTGGTTCTGCCTTTCCTGTCTTTCTCCTAGGTGACCTTGAGCATCTTTGAACTTGCCACAGCTGCTGGGCTCCCCTGTGACATTGACCCTGCCCTGGTGACGGCCCTTTCCAACCTGACGAAAGGTAAGCAACAGAAATGACCACATTTCTCTGGTTTGTCACATGCTAGTGGATTTGAAAGGCTGCAGCGCGCCTTCCCGCATTGCCTGCATAAGACTCCAGAGAAGGCAGCTTTTCTGGCATCACTGAAAGGAGCTGCAGAGGGACTTTTTCCAGGCTCTGCATCAACTCAGCAATAATAAATATTTAACTCTTGTCTCCAGGAGCTGTCACTGCTTGGAAGTGGTTGCCGTTTTGTTTGGTGTTGTGAAAGACCCGCTTGCAGGCTTTACCCCAAACTGCCAGCTTTCCTGCCTGCTTGCTTTATATCTTTCTCAATAGCAAGGTTTGGTTGTTGAAATACAGGGCTGTACATATGGAGCCATTCATCTGCCTTCATGTCACCACTGGGCTTAAAGCCGTTGATTTCCTTACTGTTGGATCTCTCCTAGCCATCCTCCTAGTTGTTGTTTCTCTCTCCTTCCTCAATCCTGTTTTATTTCTCATCAGAATCTAAGATTGTTTGTGTTGATTGTACCAGTGTGAGATTTTCCCATTTAGGCTTTGAGCAAGGGCTTTGGTGCCTGTTGCTTGCACCAAAAAATGCCTCTGCTGGTGCTTAGAAATCTACCCCTCCTGATGTGGTTATGCAGAACCATGAGTGTTCATCGTGGCTAGGAAACAGCAACAAATGCAAGGTGGTTGGGTAAATTCATTTAAACTTAACAAACAGAAAGCCATCAAATTAACAAAATGAACAGCGGGTTAAAAACAAGCAAATAAAAAGCTATGTGCATGTGCATTCTAAGTTCTTACATACGTTTAAGTTATGACTTGTTCCAAACATCATGTCAGGAAAAGTTTTTCCAATCAAAGACAATAGGTAGCGCCCAAGTTAGAAATATGTCAAGAAGACACATAGCATTAAACATGGTCAGAGAAGGTATGGAACACACAGCTATAATTATCTCTTCAGCCTGCCTTCTCTTCCTGTGTACCCATGTCAAAAGTTCACTCTGTTTGTGTCTTATCTTAACAGAATGGAACATCTAGCCTGCTCCATTCTGAGTTTCCCCACCCCTCCTTTGCTTAAGAGTCTAAGATTAAGAATGTGAAACCTTGAGCCAAATATGTACGAATATTACAAAGTACGGAAACGAACTGAAACAGAACAACTCCCTTAGAGTTAAATTTGAAGAAAATATTTCTAGTTATAGCTGTACCAAAGACTGTGGATAAATCTACAATATTAATTAGTTCCATGTTTCTTTTCCTTGAGTTAATTTTACTTCAGCTGATAACAGGATATCCATACAACTAGCAGTTTGACTGATTGCTTCTGGGCCCTTATCATTTTAAAAACTCTGTTACCCATGTAATTGTCATCTTTCTCCCCTCTCCTGGGGTCCCTTTGCACTGTGCATATGGAAACATGTTGCCACACTCCATGTGTCTGAAGAAATTGACTGTAATCCACAAACGCTGCCACTGAAATAAATCTGCCAGTCTATAAGGTGCCACACCTTTTGTTCTTATTTTTGTTATGCATACTGAGAGACCCTAACACAGTTGCTTCAGTGGAAACTGCTGGAGTACACCTTGTCAGTCATAGCTTTATTCTTTGGTTCAGCTGCAATATCTCAACAGCAGAAGTAATGGTAGTGATTTTCATACACTTACAAGCCTCATTCCTTCAGTGTCTGTCACTTTGAGACTCAGGTAATACCTGAGGACTCCCAAGAATTTTATCAGGTTCCTTTCCTGGTCACACAACATTCTTGTCTAAACTAGAGCTTGGAAAGAACACATTGCCAGCATGTTACTTCTTGGGTAGCAATGACAATGTGGTTTTTTTTTCCTGAGGTAACATAAAGACTGGTAGGCCCTTTGGTAGGTGTAATAACTAGCATTTTCTGGCCAAATGGGTCATTTTTCTATTTTAAGGGCATTTCAGAAATCAAAAATTAATTTAAAAACCCACAGGTTAGTAACGGATGAGTAATGTATGTTATATATTGACTAAGAAAAGTACAGTAATCCTATTATGTAACTTCCTTGAAAAAATGTTTCATGCTTTGGTTTAAATAGGGGCAGTATCTCACAGTGCTCTGGCAGCTGTGTTTCATCTCAGCATGGTCACAAAGTAATATATAAGCATCTGATTGCAGACCAGAGGTTGGGAGTTCAATTCCCCACTGTGCCTCCAGGGAGAAGAGCCAACCTGTGTGGACTTGGGCAAGCTGCACAGTCCCAGGGCGCCTCCAGAAGAAGGGAGTAATAGACCACTTTTGTGTACAGTGTACTCTTTGTCTAGAAAACCAGGAAAAGGGTCACCATAAGTCAGAATTGACTTGACGGCACACGAGTCCCTGTCTTGGCTGACTCAAAGACTTGGGCCCCTGGCGGCTCGCATTTGGCACATTTCTTGTGATCGTGCTCAGTCACTGTCCCATCTTAGACTGCTTACAGTTTCCCCTTGCCATTACCCAATGTGCCTGCTGTTGTTCTGATTTCAGTTTTTACCTATAGCAGGTTGCTTCTTAATGCTAACTGACCAAGCAAACAGGTACAGTTTCCCCAGTCTCACTGCAGTGGATAGGTTGACATTTTTTTTATATTGCAAACCGAGTCAGGACCATCATGTCTCTGTGTGTCGGCACCCATAAACCTCCCCCAACCTGCTGATTGCCAGATTGGTTGGGCTACAGCTCATGGCCATTAACCAAGTTGGCTGGGTATGATGGGAGTTGTACTCCACAATGACTAGAGTGGTGTTAAGACATCAGGAGTGTCATTTCTGTTGGTTCCACAACCTTCACAGGTGTGTTTGGTGGGGGCCTTCTCTGTGGCTGTTACCAGACTTTGGAACTCCCTCCCACAGGAGGCCTGGCTGGCTCCATCTTTGCCGACCTTTAGTAGGCAGGCAAAGACCTTTCTCTTCAGGCAAGCTTTCTCTCAGTGACTGGCTGCCTGAGTGGGATTTTTTTGAATGGATTGTTGTACCTTATTGCTTTGAATGTATTATAGGGCTGCTTATATTTCTTAATATGGTATTTGCTTGATCCTTTTCTGTATTTGTATACTCACTGTTTTTAGCTTTAATATTGTCTTTTAATGATGTAAGCTGCATTGTGTTCTTTTAAGGAGAAAGGTGGAGTGGAAATATTTTAAATAAAGATAAATAAAAATAGAGGGTAGTGGGTTGAGGAAAGCTGATGCGTGCACACATAGAGAGACACATTTTCTAGTATACACCCCAAACACCCCACACACAGTAGGAGGAATTATGGGCCATTATCCATGGAGGCCCTCTGGGAAGGCTTTCCTCTCATGCTAAGGCAGTGGTTCCCAACCTTGGCTCTTCAGGTGTTGTTGGACTAGTTGTGCTGGCCAGGATTTCTGGGAGTTGTAATCTAAAAACATCTGGGGATTCAAGGTTGGGAAGCCCTGTTCAGGAGTAGCAGACAGTGGTGAGCTTTTACTCTTTTTGTTTATTCTTCTACAGAGCACCCCTTTCAAGCAAAACCAAGCAGTGTCAAGTTATTTTTTTTCCAGCTCACCAGCTCCATCCAT